ACTGAGAATCAACGATGGAAACGTTCTAATCGATATTCTAGTTAAGACGGGTGAGAGTTTCATACTTCTTTTCATTTGACATGACTTCTATATCTGTCCTTTCTTTTATCCGCACAGATGTCAATACAGCAGCAGAAGAGGAAGAATACCTTTGCCTTTCAACTACCTTGCAGTTTCGTGGACTGTCTGAGGACAGTTTCTATAAGCGCGATGCTTTCTTGCATCGTCTCGTTATTCATAGCTACAAGACAGAATGCTTTACGCGCTTTCATAGTTCAAAACGATGACATCAGTTAATTCAATGAAGTCGAAACCATGTATTTTCACTACAAATGTACATTCGTTCAGTACATGTGTGACAAAATGTGTTATTCGATGCCTTAAAAAGATTTGCAACTCTTCAAGAAAACCATCAAATTAAATGAAAGTTTCATGTTAGATGGAGCAAGACCAACGTCACATATGTACAAAAAGTTCTTTTAGTAGAATAGATTATATACAGAACCAAAAGTTATCTACACTGCTCTATAGGATGATGAAAATATCAGTTCTATATCTATCATTTTTCTAAAAAATTATACGAATACTGGAGGTTTACATTCGAAAAAAAAAATCCGACAGCAGAACACAATCTTTTCTCTATTATTCGTTTCTATTCGATGAGATAGATGGACAGTAAAAATGTCAGCAAGAAAAGCCATTCTAGATAAAATATGAATAGAACAAAAAGAGATCGATAAGATCTATTTTAAATTGTTTTCAGTTACTAAACTCCTCCCCCCATAATAGGAGATCCCTGTGAGAAAAAATTATGTTCCGCATAATAGAAGCCTCCCCCCCCCCCCCCCCCCGCCCCCCCACCTTACCCCTTGCTCTCCCATCCGCACATTGTTTTCTGCTTTCTCCTACGTCTCAGTCTATTCCACTACTATATATCNAAATAAACTTCCCCCCCCATTTATTTAAGACTTTTTTTTAGAACTGAAGATTTTCATTAGTTTTTCAACATGAAACGTGTCTATATCAGGGGTTTTCAGCTGAAAATTTTCAAACCGATGAGTTCAACTCTACATTTAAGCTTCAAAAAATCGTGAAAATCCTTTCTCAAATTTTCAAAGTCGCTTTGGTTCCCTGAGAGAACCTTTTGAGTTACAAAAACTTATCAGTGTAGCCACTGTGGAGTCAAAGTGTAGTACTCATGAGACTCAAATTTCTACAAATTTCTAGTATACTCTCAAAAATGGGTGGAAAAGTTTATTTTCAAAAGATGTCAAATAAATGGATAGATTACAACTAATTCTATCGTTTGAGTTAAAGGGTACGCTCTAAAACTTTATCACAACGAAACCTTTTCATTTCGAGTTAGTACCTCTTCCTTCACTCCATTTATCAGATTTCTTGAATATATTTATAATATTAATGTAACCAACGCAGAATGTAAAATTTCTAAACAAACATTCATCATAATGATTAATTAATAGCAGTTTCTATTCATCCATTTCAAACATTCTTTTTTTCTAATGCGTGCTTTTTTTCTTGTTGCTATTCGCTATGTTATTCTTCTGTTAATTGAGATTATTATTATTTCGTATTATTCGCTTCAAGCTTTAATTTAAAGCCCCCCCCCCCCCCTTCCCCCCTCAAAAATCGATCCCAGCCCAGGAACATCCAAATTAGATGAAACTTTCAGGATATGTTGGGCCTGGAAACAGGAGACTATCATAAAATTTTCAGCCCAAAATCGTCAGGTTTCAGGGAGATATGAGCCAAACAAGGGTCAAAAATGACTCATTTGGCATCCCAAATTTTTCGGTCCTGGTTCGTTCAATATAGTAATATTTTTTGTTGTTGTCAAGAGTATCTCAAGACGCAGGGCACACGGAAGCCGATTTTTTGAAATAGTCTTTTTTTAAGTGCAAAAAGGGATCAAAAGTCCAATGACTGAAAAAAGTGTCAAAAATTGGTAACCAAATCATATAACTGGCTGTATATTGACCAAACAAAGGCTTAATTTAAAAAAGCGGCTTCCGTGTGCCCTACGTCTCGAGATGCTCTTTCAAACAAAAAAAATATATTAATATATTGAACGAACCAGGAAGGAGAAATTTGGGATGCGCTTTTGAGAAAGCGGAAACTGAGAAAAAACGAAAAACATTTTTTGATTTTTCAAAAAACAGCTGGTTTTTCGAATAGGGGTTGACGGAAATCTTGAAAATTTTTTGAGAAAAACAAATTATCGTTTATGAAAGAGCAGATGACGGGCTATCTCCCCATGTATTTATCTCAATTTCGGAATTTTTGACGAAAATTGACTTTTTTTGAGGGGGGGGGGGGGCTTAATGATTAAATAATCTTAGTATAGACATAGGTTGCATCTTCATCAGATCCTAATAATCTTGTATGTATATTAATCTACTGAGTAAGACAAAATAAATATTTCAAAAAGGTAGAAAGTAATTTGATCAAGTCTTTAGGCAACTTATATTACCGTTATAAAAAAATCAATAAAGATTATCTTTCACATGAATCGTATAAACTTTCATCTGCGCAAAAAAAAGGAGGCTAGCTTTTTGAGAATGCTCATTAAAATATTCGAACTATTGAAAAGCAAAAGATTCTAGAACTTTCCACAACCTCTAAAATCTAAGTGATTGCTACGACATGTAATGGGGGAAGAGGAAACAAGTTGAAAAACCTTGACTAAAACTTACGGTCACTATTAGTTTCTTCGGAAATATACGTGAGCTATACAAAGCTTAAAAACATTATATTTAGAACAGAAACTAGAAATTACAGAATTTTTAAATAATATAGCCGTTGATATTAATTACTCGCTATTGTTTGTTGCTGTAGAAAGATATAGTGATGTTTTTCCTAGCATCTGGTTACTAGGATAGGAACTGAGGAGCCATAAAGACTGAACTTAAACTTGCATTTACTGAATTCTTCGAATATACTCGTGAGTTTCACAAAAATACGAAAATCATAATACAAGACCTCCGTAAAAAATTTTTCCGCTTAAACATAACAGAAGACTCTGAGTCTTTTATTGTGGGACGGGGGGGGGGGGAGAGGGTACAGTAATTTAAAACTCCACAATAACAGCACAAGTTGTTTAAGAAATTCTGTATGTGATACCAAATCTCTCTGTCTACAAAAGAAAACCTAGAATAGTCATTATTATGTTAACGATTAGGAAAATATTATACGGAATCGAAATATTCTAGAGGCGGATGAAAACAATAAACTTTTTATATACAAACTGAAAAAATAGGTTTGACTTTTGCGTATTCGATCATGCTGAGACTTAAATGATATTCAAATACTAGTAAGATGCATTTTATTGTGATACCTATTATGCTCCTCTTTTGCTTACTTTCTTAACTAATTCTTGAGCAACTTTATCGAGGTTGAAGGAGAAGGAGAGCAAATAAAGTACATGTGCAAATATATACACTAGTATAATTTATTTTGGCTTTATTATCATTGTTATGAAGGATTGATGAGAATGTGGACGTCGATACTCGAAAAGAGAAGATCGAAACCCACATTTTACTCTTGTTGGAATCTTCTGTTTGATCATTTTAGATCGCGATTTTTAGCCACTGGATTGAAAGCTAACCTATCGTCTTCGTTTAAAACATGTACATTATTAAATTAACTCGTCCAAATTATATCTGACGATGTGCACTAATGAGAATTCTAATTATTCTTTAAAGTAGTAATTTTGTTTATTGGGTGTGGGTGTGGGTGTGGGTGTGGGTGTGGGTGTGGGTAAATGTGGGCGTAGGTGTTATTTATATGAGACTAGTGTACTGCGTGATCACTTTTTTCACGATCACGATCACGATCACGCGTGATCGTGACCGTGATCGTGCGTGATTAGAAGCTTTTTTCGTGATCGTGATCGTGATCGTGATCGAAACTAAAATTCGTGAATCACGACTGTCATATATAGGCTCAAAATTTCAACTATTTCTTCATAAATTTAATGTACATAAGGTACTCGTAACAACAAAAAGCAAGTTAAAAGACATGAACCGATTAAATACTATTATATTAGAAACTAAACTGAGAAAAAAGTGTGAAAATTGCATAATCAAATAATTTATTCATCGTCTCCATTGTCAATATTAACTACACTAAATTCACGATCACGATCACGGTCACGGTTACGATCACGCGTGATCGTGATCGTGCGTGATTAGAATTTTTTTTCGTGATCGTGATCAAAAATATCAATCACGCAGTACACTATATGAGACCCATGCCCACATCCACATCCACATCCACATCCACACCTCCACCCGCACCCACACCTATACCCACTCCCACAGCTCATACCCTTTTGATTCCATTTTCATGCTGTGGTACAGGCAAAAATGTGCTCTCATTTGGCCTATGTACAGGGATGCAAATCGCATGGGATGAGCCTCCCTCCCCCCCAAATTTAAGAAATTTGTTGTTTTTTTAGCAGTACCAGATGGCTGAAGTTCCTTCGTTTTTCTATCATATCTTGTCCAAAATGTGCAACTGTAAACTGAATGCTAACAATTGTCGTTTTAGTTTCATGAATCGTATTTGACAGTTCTGATAATTCAATATACTGCTGCTGGAATCTTGTTGAAGTTCTCATATTTTAAGTACTCTACGAATGGCTGGAAGAAAATCAGAATCTTGAAACAATACATGAAGCCAATTTCAATGGTGTTTGAACAACTTTTATAGAAACAATCGAATATTAGAAATAATTCGTTTTAACTAGAATCGATGCGGACATTATTCTCATCTATTCATCATCGATATTCGAATATGTTGTTATGTAAGGAGATTAGTGATAATTTCATTTGATTCAGACATGATATGAATGAAAAAAAAACTTCCTTCGAAAAACAAAGTACGAGTAAAGTTTGACAAATCTTTTCGCATATTCTAATCAGCTTAATCTGAGGTAAAAACTTAAAGTTCGAGACCACTCTTTCGTAAATGAAAAATGTTGATCATTCGTTATCAACGCGTACATTTACAGCCAAATGTTTGGGATAGCAAAGCATTTGTTGATCATATCCGCCTGAATTGTCTTCCATCCCCGTGTCTTCGAATGTCACACGTTGCATCAGTCGTGTAACGATAGTCTTCAACTCGAGCCAGGCCAATTCTTGACCAGCACATGCTCGATGACCTCCGCCAAATGGTATAAAAGCAAATGGATGATGATCTTTGTCTTCATGCAAAAATCGTTCAGGCACGAATTTTGATGGATCAATGTGCCAATATCTTGGATCCGAATGAATATTATATATTGGAATAAGAACAGTGTCATCTTTCTTCACATGGATCGTCCCATCGATCAGACCATCGCAGAGAGCGGTGCGTGATAAACCTGGAATGATCGGTGCGCACCTAAATACTTCTTTAATCACACAATTCACATAGATGAGTGAATTGAGAACATCCAAATTAAGAGCGACATTATCACTAACTGGGATAAGATCATGCTCACGGAGTTCATCTTTGATACGTTGTTGTACGTGCGGATGTTTCGATGCAAAATGCATTAACCAGGCTAGAACAGTGGCTGTTGTGTCAAAGCCACCGTGAACAAAGTTTTTAATTTCATCCAATAACTCTGGCAAAGTCAGTCCGGATGATATATCATCATCATTGGCATTGTCATTGAGCGAAGAAACGTAAAATGAAAAAATATTTCTTCGATTCGATTTTGGTGATGATATATGTTCTCTATGATTTTGCTCTTCAGCCACAATCGACATACAATGCTGACGAATGATACGAGAAGCATTTTGGTATTTCCAGTTCAGAGACAGATAGATCTTGCTGAGCCACTTCGAAACACCAGTTAAAATCATTAATTGACCGGTAGAACGTGTATAATCCTTTAAAGACACATCAATATTGATACACAATTTTTACATATGAATTAAATTTCATATGAAAATGTGTATACAGAAACTATGCGCTTATAGAGATGGTACCCGACAACCGGAATATGAAAAATCTTTTGTACATCTCTATGCTCGTGTTATATTCAGTTCTTTTTCACCGAAATCAATTTTGGAAGCAGTAGAACATTGAGTTAATATTACTCGTAGCTCAAATGTAGGCTCTTTCAAAGTATACGAAATAGAGAATAATCAAGATTCTTGCTACATTACGAATAACAATAGTCGATTTGTCTTCACAAATAGATTCCGTGAGACGAATTATCTAGCGTTTGGATACTATGTGAATCCCAACTCAACTCTGAACGATGAATGGTTGACTTCACGAAATCTGCAGAGAGATTGCTCTCCAAAAAAAACTTACCTGTAACGCCTCAAAAAGTTCTTGTTGCTCGTGTTCGGTTTTCTTCTGATTATCCATCGGGTCACTACCGAATGCAATTGATTCAATAATTTTGAGCAAAAATGTTTGACATTTCAATCTGAGATCTTTTCGACCACCATCGACTTTTGTTAGATGTGTGTAGATCAACCAATCTGTACATTCCACAATAGTATCCATATAATTTACTACCTTAGCTCGCTTTAACATAGGTAAAATTACACGTGCATGCCGTTTCCATGTTTGATGACGTGCGACAGATATCGAATTGGGTACCAATAAACTGAGACTAGCTACTATAAGATCCGATATTTCATAGATGTGTCGTGAGGTTAAAATGTGTTGCGCATGTTCTACGCGGTTAAAGACAAGCCATCGATATGGTCCGAACCAAAAAGTAAAAACATCGCCGTAGATTTGCTTCATTTCGTAAAAAACTTCATGGAAAATTTTCCGACGAGAAAGTAAACCGGTATTGCGCATGTTACCAAGGAGAAATTCCGGCGATGGGCCAGCAATGGCATTTGACATTGTGGCATAGTGCCAATTACGATAGAAATAAATACTTGACAGGAATACAAGAAGAAACACAATAATAGTGAATATCATGTGGGACTGCTCGCTACTAAAAGATTTGAAAAAGTGTTACGTGAAAGAAGGCGACCTATACTCACTCATACTCAACCATACTATTTGATGAAGGAAAAGAAACAAAAAGAGGTCACACAGCAAACAAAAAGAAATGTTTCATAATACTGCTACGCAATTTCATCTTTCATTTTGAAACATATAGCTATTCAACACCGGCGTACGTGTGAGTGCGAGTGTGTGGATGTCGATGTGGGTGTGCATGTGAATATGGGTATGGAGTGCGGCTGCTGGGTGGGGGTGCGGGGTGTGAATGTGGGTGTGGGTGCGATTGTGGGTGGGTGTTGTTAGCGTCCATCGATGTTACGACATGACGCTAACTTCATATATATGTATTTTGTTTCTTTTCGTTCCTGCAATATATATATATATGTACCGTGCTATTGATCATCATGTTCTTATGATGATCATCTCTTTTTCATTTTTTCTTTTTCATTTTATTATATTCTTTGTTTTTTTTTATCTCTTTCTATTTTGGTTCTCTTCTTTTTCTCTTTTTTTGCCTTGATCGTATTTATTGTGATAACTACCTTTAGTCTTGTTTTTCCTCTGGTCGTGGTTATACATCTATTCTTGTTTTCTGTGATTTTCTATCATCATCATCTATTAATAAAATATTTGAAACACCTACATAACGGAATCTATTACAACTCATATTCCATCACCTGAACAACAATATACGGTGAGCATTTGATTGTGAGTTTTCTCAAGATAAGCAGGCTTAGATCCTAGATTTCATATTTCAGCCAACGTCAACAACAGAGGTTGAAGCCATTAGTTACATTCCCAAAACGAGAACCTCACAATTGGCGGAGAAGTTAGGCACATAATTAGTCTGCGCGTATTAATTTCCAATAACATTGAAAAAATTTTTTTCGTGTTTTTCCGTTGTTTGTTTTCTTTCCATATCGCTATCGTATATATAAGCGCTTTCTTTTCTTGTCTTTTTTTCCGTTCTGTTTGCACTTTTAGCTGTATAACAAGTAAAAATAAAATCGATGTCGGATATTGCGATGAATCATCCGGATTGTATATCAACTATATCGAAATCAGAATCGCTCGATTCTTTAAATCCACGATCCACGACAGATACAACTATGCTTACGTCAACAAAAATTCAATCAACAAATATAAAAAGTTCTCATGATAGAAATCGACGAAAAGCTATTTTACCAACATCACATAAGCCGAAAAAAGAACAGGATTTATTAATCATGAATACTAAAAAGGAGTCACATAATATAGAACAATGTATTGAATTAAAAGAAAATCGTAGTAAATCATGCGACAATGATATTTTGTATGTTGACCATGACAGAGACGAATCATTCGTTCAAGATTCAAAGGTTCTTTTTCATATTAAGTCGAAGAAACCTATTGAAAAATCAGTTATTAATGAAAATTTCTATCGACAAGATAATCCGAAGAAGGTTGATGAACTTGATCATAAGTCAAATCAACAAGAGAAGTATGATCAAATCAATCAGTTAAATTGTTTGAAAAAGAATTATAATATAGATGGTAATTCGGAATATGATTTACAGAGTGAAGATGATAAGAGCGATGAAAGTTTTGATGAGTTTATTTTAGAAAATTTCATTCCTTTCACAGGAAAACAAAACGTTTTACAATGGCTTGACGAAACAGAAACTAAATTTAATCGTTTTCATATTGTAAGAACTGTTCGCTATGTTGCTATTCCTCTGTTAGTCGAAGGCGACGCTCGATACAAATACATGAGACATCGAAAGAAAATTCGTAGTTTTGATGACTTCTATGAATTCTTATTGGTACAATATGATGCAGAGGATCGCTCATTGAATGCACCTAAATCTCTACCAGTTGTAGATAGTAAATCATGCGAAACATGTACATTTTGCCAATCTAAATCAGCAAATAGCATACATCAATCTATAGGGTGTCCAGTAATTCACTAGAGTTGGAGAAGAAAATTTGAATATTTTCATGAATCTTCAACCAAATGAGCTGAATTTTTTTTGGAAGGTAGAGGACACGTAGCAGTTTTTATTCATAACAGAACAGGTCGTTTATGAGGATTAACTCAGCACACTTTTCTTTGCTATGTAAATAAGCTAGGCACAAACATTTGTTGTTCATAGTTATAATGCAATACTGTACGATAATCTTTTCTTTATTTATTAGGAAGCANATTATTTTTTTTTTTTATTAATTAATCTTAGTATAGTGATTGTTTGTATCTTCGCTCGATCCTAACAATCTTGTATGCATACTAATGTACTGAATAAGACACGAAATAAATATTTCTAAAAGGTAGAAAGTAATTTGATCACGCTTTCATGTAACTCATACTACCATTATAAAAAATCAATAAAGATTATCTTGATAAAACATTTTTATTTAATATATAGAGCAACATAATATATGTGATATGAACAGATCAATGAACAATTGATTTATTCATCATAGGACAATTTTCAACTAATCTAATCTTTTACATTATAGATGTATATCATTTGTTGAATTTTTAGAGATACAACAACAACAACACATATTATTAAATCAATAAATGGTGGTACAAAATTATATTGTTGATCATTCTGATCATACAAGTTGATACAATTTGACAAAAGAAAATGGTCGTCAAATAAAACCACATTCGTCATTACTATCATATAAAAATCTTATGATAATATTAAAATTAAAAACATCTATATTTATGTTCTGATGATGGCCTTTTTTATGGCTGAAAATTCAACAAATGATACACATCTATAATGAAGATATTAGATTAGTTAAAAAATTGTCCTATGATGAATAAATCAATTGTTCATTGATCTGTTCATATCACATATATTATGTTGCTCTATATATTAAATAAAAATGTTTTATGAATAAAAAATTCCATGTTTTTTACTATTAAAATTAGTTCACGTGTGTTTAAAGATTATCTTGAGTGTGGGTGTTAATCTTCTTTTAATCATGACACCCACACCCACACCCAAATCTCTCTGTCTACAAAAGAAAACCTAGAACAGTGATTATTGTGTTAACGATCAGAAAAATATTATACTGAATCGAAATATTCAATAGGAGGATGAAAAAAATAAAGTTTTTGTATACAAACTGAAAAAATAGTTTTGAATTTTGCATATTCGATCATGCTGAGACTTAAATGATATTCAAATACTAGTAAGATACATTTTATTGTGATACGTATTCTGCTCCTCTTTTGCTTACAACTAATTCGATGTCGAACGAGATATAGAGCAAGTAAAGTACATGTGCAAATATATGCACTAGTATAATTTATTTTTGCATTATTATCATTGTTATAGAGGATTGATGAGAATGTAGACGTCGATACTTGAAAAAGAGAAGATCGAAACCTACACTTCATTCTTGTTGGAATCTTCTATTTGATTATTTTAGGTCGCGATTTTTAGCCACTAGATTGAAAACTAATCTATCATGTTCGTTTAAAACATTTACACTATCAAATTAACTCGTCCAAATTATATCTGACGATGTGCACTAATGAGAATTCTAATTATTCTTTAAGGTGGTAGTTTTGTTTATTTTAGATCTCTTGAATATTGAAATTGACAAAGCATTTCTTGGATTTTCCCTGTACTATCCTCTGCAAGAAAAGTCTTATCTATCGCGTACTTTTTAGAATCATACCTTGTGATTGTCACAATTTTGTAGGCATAGAAGTAAGGAATCATAGACCGCAGTAAATTTGATGTTTAGATTATTTTGTGTAGTAACCATCACCGAGTCTGCATAAAGAAAAAAAGAACGAGTGATGTTTGTCTTAAGTGTTTCAAAAAGTTCCACCAACAAAATGTCTCCCTTCTATTCTGATTTGTCAACATAAACGAAAGCATTTGTTCTTTTTTTTTTGTTTTACAAAATTCTTTTCTGATCAAATTTTTTAAGCATGCATGCGTGCATATACAATAGGAAAAAGATTCGGATACCATGCCATATTTATGTTTCAACTGAAAATTCTCAGTGAAGAAATAAAAGCTTTTTAGATTCTGATTACATTATTCGATGGCTCAAGATTTCTACTTTGTTCCGCAGATGTTTGTGAAGTCTTTCAAAGTCTCCGGCGAAATAATGCTTAATTTCGCAGTTGTAAAATTATCCAGGTACCTACACTTTTCTGCTTTTACTACGTCAGAATAGTTTGACTTACCACATTTCATTGGAAAGAGAAAAATTAATTGAATGCAAACATATTTCTATCTATCGAAAACTATGAAATCTTACTCGTAATAAAGATTAATTAAAACTAATATGTTATATTGGTTTCCTATATTCTCGACTGTTCCATTACGAAATAAGACTAACAATCACCACCTCATTTTTTATTTGCAGTTGATATGGCGAAGAGCATTTTTTTCGTTCTGTTTTTTCCATCACAACGCGCATACCTTCATAAAAAATTTCGATGATACAACATTACAGAACACAGAAAAAAGATTGTTTTTTCTTCAGTATAAATAACACATGAAACAAATAGTTGTAATTATGGTGAAGCTACATAGGCATTGTGTATCAAAGTACTTTAATTCGTAAAGAGTTCGGTTCTCAATAATGTGGTATTTTTTTATGGCGAATTCGGGTGTAGGTGTGAGCGTAGATATTTTCTTTATTGCCATTCACTCAGCCACAGCCACAGCCACATCATTGAGTAAGATGAGCAAGCACCTTCATTTTCTTGACACATCCATAAGCACGCTCTGTTGTGTTCAGACCTCAGTATAATCATGCATGAAATGTCCTTAGACAACTCTTTAAAGAGTAGTTCTTTCAAGCAACGCATTCGATAGTGTATTGACCACACCGATTGTCATTTTACAGAGTGGTAACAATTCCAATATACATATAATAATGACGGGTGTCGGCAGTTGTGAGTGTTGATTTTATCATTTACTTTACTCGCACGCACACCCAAAACATAGAAACTCTTGAAAAAACCTTATAACAACTATTATTTACGGTATTATCAGATTAATGGTTGCTGATATGCTTTTTAAGATTCCATATTGGAATCAATTTTTTCAACTTGGCTAACTGAAATCGGAATCGAATCCGTGGTTCCGGTTGGAATCTCGAATAGTATTTGTGATCGCCACGCTCCTCTTTTCATCAATATGTTGACCTTGCACTATTAATAAACCGTGTGAATATTTTCTAGTATTTGAAGAAAAAAATCCAAGAATGTTGTCTCCTGCTTGACGAAGTTTTGCGGAGAAATCTTTTGCTTTTCTTGTTTTCTTTTGAACAAATATGAGCATTGTGTAAATGTTTTTTGATCTTGGTTGAGAATTCTATTAGCTAACAGGCGCAAAACAACCAAAATGAAACTTCAAGTTACAACATCACCATGGCTCCTTTAAAATAAGAAAGTCATTGCATATTCGTAAATAATATTGAAAATATGATATTTCTGAAAAACTGGTATTTCGCAAGCATCCAAGAAATTTTTTTCATTTAAGAGGTGTATGGTGGAAATATTCTAACAAGACAAATACAATAGTGCAGATTTTTACCTTTCTATCACGTGGCCCTATTTTATAGAAATTTATAGGCTCGAATCGTACAAGTCTATGGTCGAATAGTTTTACAATGCTCTATGGATACTCATTATGATAAAGTACTCCATACTTTCATCTTTATTTAACCTCGCTGAAAAAGCGCCAGTAAGATTAATGTTTAGATACTTTGAGAAGTAAAGAAGTCCAACGATTCAATTATAAGTAGCATGTTGGAGAAAAATATTTGCTTAATATATAAAAATAGAATGTTTGCTTTTGCTTTGTGTGCATGAAAACTGATTCATCAAGATAAAAACTAACACATCAAAAGAATATCTTACCTTTATTCAAACAATTTGTCCAACCTTCTTTCGTGGAACCCTTGAATGTCGAATCGTCTAAAAAAAACATACTATANCACCCCACACCTACACCCACGCTCACACCGACACCCACACACCCACATCCACACCCCACACCCACACCCACGCTCACACCGACACCCACGTCCACCCACACCCGACACCCACACCCACACCCAACTCTGAGTATTTCATTGTGGGACGGGGAGGGGGAGGTACAGTAACTTAGAACTCCCTAATAATAGCACAAATTCTTTCACAAATTCTCTATCTCATACCAAATCTCTCTGTCTACAAAAGAAAACCTGGAATAGTGATTATTATGTTAACGATCAGGAAAATATTATACGGAATCGAGATATTCAATAGGAGGATGAAAAAAATTAAGTTTTTGTATACAAACTGAAAAAATAGTTTTGAATTTTGCATATTCGATCATACTGAGACTTAAATGACATTCAAATACTAGTAAAATACATTTTATTGTGATACGTATTCTGTTCCTCTTTTGCTTACAACTAATTCGATGTCGAAGGAGATACAGAGCAAATAAAGTACATGTGCAAATATATGCACTAGTATAATTTATTTTGACATTATTATCATTGTTATAGAGGATTGATGAGAATGTAGACGTCGATACTTGAAAAAGAGAAGATCGAAACCTACACTCCACTCTTGTTGGAATCTTCTATTTGATCATTTTAGGTCGCGATTTTTAGCCACTAGATTGAAAACTAATCTATCGTGTTCGTTTAAAACATTTACACTATCAAATTAACTCGTCCAAATTATATCTGACGATGTGCACTAATGAGAATTCTAATTCTTCTTTAAGGTGGTAGTTTTGTTTATTTTAGATCTCTTGAATATTGAAATTGACAAAGCATTTCTTGGATTTTCCTTGTACTATCCACTGCAAGACGATTCTTATCTATCGCGTACTTTTTAGAATCCTACCTTGTGACTGTCACAATTTTGTAGGCATAGAAGTAAGGAATCATAGACAGCAGTAAGTTTGATGTTTAGATTTTTTTGTGTAGCAAC